AATCTTCCAAACATCCCATGGAGATCGATAGAAAAAGCCGCTGGTATTAACGAACTTTCCTTCCTTGAGTTACTGGATGATCATCATCTACTTCAACTCAACAACACTCCTACACGCGGAAATAACATACTAGACTTTGTTATCACAAATGCTCCAGACCATGTCAATGTGACACAGATATTGTCTCCGGAAGAAACATCCATTTTTACTGACCATCATACTATCTCATTCGATTTCTCCGCATTTATCAAAAAACCAAGAAAGTCGGTCAGAACTGTATACGACTATACGAAAGGTGACATGGTTGGTCTTTGTGCTGCGTTACGTGAAATAGACTTATCTACAACCATTTTAGAATCGTGTGATGACATTAATACCGATTGGAAGCGTTGGAAGGACACTTTTCTTTCAATCGTTTCAGAATTTATCCCTAAGAAGCAATTGAAAGGTAGAAATCCGCTACCATGGATCAACGGCGACATTCTCTATCAAATTAAGAAAAAAGACTCTATTCGACGAAGATTGAAAGCCACTCCTACTGCACATCTTCACGAGAAATACAAGAGAATGCGTTCTAAAGTTAAACGGTTACTCAGTGACAGCCGCGAGAATTTCTTCTCCTCGGTTAACAACAACTTTATTAACAATCCCAAGCGCTTTTTGTCTGTCCTTAAACAAAAATCAAAAACTTGCAGCATCCCCGATTTCATTTCAATGCATGCGGCACTCAACTCCTCCGATCAAATTCACATTAGACCTAGCGCCACGAGACCAGCTGAAATAGCCAATATGTTCAATACTTACTTTGCATCAGTATTTGCAACAGACAACTTATCTGATCAATCTGAAGAATTAAGTACTGACCCATTCATATCTGAAGTAATTGTAAACGAACTGGAAATTGAAACTTTACTTAAAACCCTCGATAGCAACAAAGCAACCGGTCCAGATGAAATTCCAGCCAGACTACTCAAAGTGACTGCCTCCATTATTGCTCCCTTTCTTTGTAAATTATTTAATAAATCATTACGTCTTGGCACGGTTCCAGAAGAATGGAAGCTAGCAAATGTTGTACCTGTATTTAAGAAAGGTGAAAAAGATCACTGCGAAAACTGCAGACCGATCTCACTCTTATCGATTGTTTCGAAACAGCTAGAACGTTGTGTCCTTATGAACATCAAGTGCCATTTGTCCCAGATCATCTGCAAATGTCAACATGGGTTCCTTCGAGGTAAATCATGTGTAACAAATCTTTTAGAGGCAATTGACTATATTGGCAGGATTCTGGACAATGGGGGACAGGTAGATACGATCTATCTCGATATGTCTAAAGCCTTTGATCGGATTAATCATACGAAATTAATTACTAAACTAAGAAATTACGGCTTCGGTGGTAATTTACTAAAGTGGTTTCAGTCATACTTATCGGATCGTTGTCAGCGTCTAACGGTACTTGGTTGTACCTCAAACACACTTCCTGTATCATCAGGTGTCCCGCAGGGCTCTATTCTTGGACCAGCGCTATTTTTGCTGTATGTCAACGATCTTCGTGATTCAGTAAAGACCAGCGAAGTAGCCGTGTTTGCAGACGACACAAAGTTATTTTCATCTGTCAAATGTCAGGACGATGCTATGTTACTTCAAAGTAATCTTATAAACTTAGAACACTGGTCATCTGTATCTGGTTTGACCTTCAATGAAAAGAAATGCAAGCAGCAACGAATAACGAGAAAGATTACACCAGTAACATCATCATATATGATAAACGATCACCAATTAAACACAACCGACACTGAAAGAGATCTTGGTGTATGTATAGCATCAAACCTTACGTGGAAAACACAAGTTCACCATCAAGCGTCAATAGCAAACCAACTGTTAGGCTATATAAGAAGAAATACCATGTTCATCAAAAGTACTGCACCAAGACGAACATTGTATCTTGCATTGGTTCGATCTCATTTCGGATATGCCTCCCAGATTTGGGCACTGCAGACGATTGAACTTATTGACATTTTAGAAAGAACTCAGAGGCGGGCAACAAAATATATTTTGAACTTGCCATTCTCGACAGACGTAGACTATAAAACAAGATTACAATCCTTGCATCTTCTTCCCGTATCCTACTGGCACGAATACCTAGACATGATCCTCTTCTTCAAAATCACACACGGTTTGGTGGAAATGTCTGCTCTTCCTGGCATTCATATTATGCAAAGAACGACACGATCATCAGCAAGTAATAACGCTAAATATGTCGTCCGCAAATGTAAAACCAATACCTACCAGCAGTCGTTTTTTGTCAGAACGTGTCGAATATGGAACGCTCTCGTAGATGAACTAAATTATGACACGAACTGCTTCAATTCCTTTAGATCAGCCTTACTGGAATACTATCACAAATCTTTAGAAGTTAATTATAATCCTGATAATCCTCGAACATTTAAAACTATATGCCTGAAATGTAACTCTGTACGAAGTCTTACATATCCGATATCCTGCTGCTTTTAGTAACTAATATTGTTTGTTCGTAGGTTTGTTAGTCTGTCCAGTTGAATGTCTGTTGTTTGTTTGATTGTATCTAATTGGGCCCGCAGTAATTGGCAATAAGCTGTTGCGGTGTTCCGGCCACTCTGTGTAATTTTATGCCGGCAAAGTTAATAAATAAATAAATAAATAAATAAATTTAGGGATATACACAGGCAGTTTAAGCACATGCGGGAAAGGTGAGGAAGCGCCTGCTAAATAACGCGTCGATGGCTCGTCAAATGTGTCGATTTCTCGTCATCACTAAATCACAGATTGAAATACGATCTATTGCGGGGTAAAATATTACCTGGTTATAAGTATTGCTGGTTTCTTGCTTGTCAGAAGTCATGGCGAACAGTAGCAAAGACAAAAGCTCAAAAACTAAAGATTTTACAGTCGATGTGCATGGACCTTCTTAATGTTTCTTTTAGTGAAATGGAACTGGGTAAGAATATGAATGATTATTAACGACAAGAAACTTACATCTACATGCAAATTACATGCAAATTTATGTATCGTCAGATTTAGCGCACACGCTATGATTTTAATTGGCCAATATGTTTTTGTATGTAAACTATGAAAGCCATCTTGGAAGCGTTATTCAACAGGCGCTTCCTCACCTTTCCCGCAAGTGCTCAAACTGCCCGCGTATCCCTAAATTTACACCCGCACCTAATTAAAAGCGCCTGTGGAGGAGGTTGCAGAAATCTGATGTTTGGTGAAGTGAGTATGAGCGAGAATGCTTGACATTGTACTGTATACAACGAAACGTTAGCCATTAAATTGCTATTTTATTATGTCTTGTATGAAAGTCATTTGCTGGGCTTTAATATTCATATTTAGATTGCGCTTTCCGCCTAGCGTATCAATAGCTACCCTGGCAAAACGGTTTATGGCGCGAAACGTTAACGGTCCGGTTTGAGCGGCCAATCAACTTTCAGAATCTTCCCGTGGAAAAACGTTTCGAATATATATTTCAAAAACAATTCATATAAATAAAGCAATTTCATTGGGTTTTGTGCATAGAGATTATAAATAACACTGGAGCGGGCATCGAGGCAAAAATTTGGGAGCGCGTCTAATGGGGGGTAAATTTAGATGTACGCCACGCAACAGGTCAGTTTTACTTGAAACCACAATATATTAAAACCTAAGTTACAAGGCGAGTTATTTTATGTGTTTCTTTTATACTATTCCTGCAATTGTTTACGAAATATCTTGAATATTCCGCTACATTTCGCCCGTCTGAAACGTTAAATTGCTGACGTCAGCATTATTTTCAAACGCTCTCAAAACACTGTTATACACAAAATTTTGTTTAGAATGTTTAGTTAAGGATAAAAAGTGATAGCTTATCTAACTTAAACAAGAATCTAGAGATTTTGAATCAAACTCAGCTTTATTTTAGCATTTGAATTTTTTGCCCCCCATTAGACGCGTTCCCTTTTTTTGCCTGAATAAACATTACGATGCCCACTCTCGTGTTATTTATAATCTCTATGGTTTTGTGCGTGTGCTATTTCTTGAGTGAATCACGGATGACGTCATACATATTTTTTCAATGATTCACTCGCGTTTTTGAACACTTTTGATGCATAAAATAGATTCCGTTTTGCCGGGAACGTGTACTGTAATAGGACACGGAAGACGCCACAGCGTCAAAAGAACAAAAACTGCGGCTAAAAGTACGTATACTACCTAGTATAATTCTATGGTGATTGGAAGTCCGTGATAAAAAAAAAATAAAAAAATGTGATGAAACGTAGCAGCAATGAAGGAAGAGCTAAAGTACAAGAAGAACAATTGTTGGCAGTATCGAACAGTTATTCAACTTTGCAAATATAGTTGAAAGTGTGATGATACCGGAGCGAATGGCCATGCAAACATCCGCCGTGACCCGATTGTAGACTGCCTTGCGTCCTCGGACAGTAGTAGGTATGACAAAAATTGCGAGACATGGCGACAAGATAAACAACAAGATCAACAACAAGATCAAAAGATCGGTAATGCGTCACAAGACGAGAAACAAGACAAGAAACAAGATTCAATAACAACAGAGAATTATGCCAACAACAACATCAAAATAGGGAATCGGTTAATGACGGGCTTACTAGGTCCAGCCATACTGTCAAAACCACGGTATTAATTGGCGACTCGATGATAAAACAAATTGATTGTAAAAGATTACAACGGGCAGTTAACGGGCGGCACTCTCGTGGATCGAGAATTAGGAACGAAACTTATCGGGGAGCCAAAATTGATGCAATGAAACACTATGTAAAGCCATGCTTGACAACAAAACCGGACAGAATAATATTACATGTTGGGACGAATGACATTGGTACCAAGGACGAGAAAGAAATTACCAAAAGGATTGGCGATATATGCGAAATAATACACCAGGAAAGTCCGAACACGAAAATTGCCTTATCAATGTTGGTAACCAGAGCAGATAAACCTGATTATAAAACAAAAGTACAAAAAGTAAACAAAGAACTTGCAGAATTATGTGAGTATAATAGTTATGATTTAATTGAACATGAAAACATTGAAGCCAGGCATTTAAATCCTTATGGAATCCATTTGAATAGGCAAGGGTCATCAATCATGGCAAGTAATTTACTATCGTATTTGAACAATATAAAGTATAATTGAAATACCGTTGCGGTTGAGAATAGCCCGAGTAGCTCAAGTTTAGTACGTAATGATTTAGATAAACAAAGCCCCGATACAAGTAATAATAATAGTTCAATTATAATGACAATGAGTAATGTCAGTAATGGAGCAGAAAGCCAAAGCTTCAATAGAAATAATATAATTAAAGAGAGGGAATTAAATAGAGGATTTAAAATTGCTCATCTAAACATCAGAAGTCTCGTTAAAAACATTGATCAGTTGAGGGTATATCTACAAAAAGGGCAATATGATGTAATTAGTATAAATGAAACTATGTTAGATGACACGGTAGCTGACCATGAAGTATATACAGGGTGTCCCAAAAAAAACGAAAACTATTGAAATCACTTATTGTTAAATTTGAATGCCCTACCAAACAGCTGAACGTAATGATGCGTAAAATATTGACAAGGTGCATCTATTAGAATTTAGTTAGGAATATCTCCTGGTAAAGTGCGCGATTTTCTGCTCCTGGGAATTAAAAACAGCTTCTTAAACAGTTTCTTTATGCATAAAATTTACTTATGTCAATCATTTTTGCACTCGAGGGAACCAACAGAGAGCTAAGGCATTCAAATTCTAACAATTAAATTGTTATTGCTGATTTCAATAGTTTTCTTTTTTTGGGGACACCCTGTATAAGGGTTACGATATAATTAGGAACGATAGGAATAGAAATGGAGGTGGCGTGACTATCTACATAAGAAGTGTGATTAGTTATATAGAAAGGTATGACCTAGAAGATGATAATCTGGAAAAGATAACAGTTGAAATCTCTAAGCGAAAATCGAAGTCATTTCTAGTTAATACTTGGTATAGACCGCCTGACACTTCAAGTACCGTTTTTGCTAATTTTGAAGAATGCGTTAAAAAAATGGACGTAGAGAATAAGGAGATTATACTTATAGGAGATTTTAACTGTAATTGGGATCCAGAAAATAGTAAAACAAGCTCGCAAACAGATAAACTTAAAGATATTGCGACTACATACCAATTTAAGCAGTTAATTACGGGGCACACTCGGATTACTGAAAGCTCAGCAACGCTAATTGATTTAGCATTTACTAACAAGCCTGAAAATATTGTCAAATCAGGCATAGAACATGTTGGAATCAGTGACCACAGTCTTATTTTTATACAAAGGAAAATTTCAATACCGCGCAAACAGCCAAAAATAATAGTTACAAG